AGAACAACTAGACAGAAAATCAGTGAGAAAACACAAGACTTGAACAATATTACATACCAACTCAACCTAACAGACATCTACAGGATCCTCCAACCCAAAACAGCAGAATACACATTCTTCCTAATTGCACACATAACATTCAGCAGATAGACAATGTTACGACATTAAATAGGTCTCAATAAATTTAAAAAGACTGAAATCATACAAAGAATGTACTCTGACCACATGGAATGAAGATAAAAATTAATGACAGAAGGAAATTTGGAAAACACACACATATGCAGGGATTAAACAACACATTCCTAAATAAACGATGAGTCCAAGAAGAAATCAAAATGAAAATTAGAAAGGACATTCAGAATGAAAATGAACATACAAAAATTTATGGGATGCAGTGAAAGAAGTACTCAAAGGGAAACTGACTATAAATACCTACATTAAAAAAGAAAGCTCTCAAATCAGTAAACTAACATTCCATGTTAAGAAACTAGAAAAAGAAACTAAGCCTAAAGAAAGCAGAAAGAAAGAAATAATAAATATTAAAGAGAAAACAAGCGAATAAAGAATAATAAAGAATAAAAAACAATAGAGAAGATCAACGAATCCAAAAGTTAATTCTTTGAAAAGATCAACAAAATTGACAAATCTTTAGTTACATGGAAGGAAGGAAAGAAAGAAGAAAAAGAAATAAAGGAAGGAAAGGAAGGAGGGAGAGACAGATTCAAATTACTAAAATCAGGGGTGAGAGGGGATATTACTACTGACCTTGCAGAAATAAAAGGGATTATAAAGGGATACTATGAACAATTGTATACTAACAATTAGATAACCTGGATGAAATAGGCAAATTCTCAGAAACACAAAACCTACCAATACTGAAACATGAAGAACTGGAAAATCTGAATAGATCAATAGCAAGTAATGAAACCGAGTTAATGTTCAAAAAATTTCCAACAAAGAAAAGCCCAGGACCACATAGCTTCAATGGTGAATTCTACTAATGTTTAAAGAATTGACACCAATTCTTCTCAAATTCTTTCAAAAAATAGGAGGGAACACTTCCTAACTCATTCTATGAGGCCAGTATCCATCAGTATCCCTGATGCCAGAACCAAAGACATCACAAAATAACTACAGACCAATATCCTTATGAATATAGATGCAAAAATAGCAAGTTGAAACCAGCAGCATATAAAAAGGATTATACATCATGACCAAGTGGAAATTATCTCATGGATGCTCTAGGATACAAGAACCAATCCATGTAATACACCATATCAAGAGCTTAAGGAAAAAACACACATAATCATCTCAATAGAGGCAAAAAAAAGCATTTGGCAAAAATTCCTTTCATGATAAAAACACTCAACAGACTAGGAATAGAAGGGAACTTTCTCAATCTGATAAAGAACATCTGTGAAAAACCCACAGCTACCATCATACTTACTGGCAAAAGACTGGATGCTTTGCCCCTAAGATCAGGAACAAGACAAGGATGTCTGCTTTTGCCACTTCTATTTAGCATTGTTCTAGAAGTTCTGGCCAGAGCAATAGGCAAGAAAAAGAAATAAAAGGCATCAGATTAGAAAGGAAGAAGTAAAACTACCTCTACTTGCAGATGACATGATCCTATGTATGGAATATCCTAAATAATCTACCAAAAAAACAGCACCCAAAATTATTAAAGGTAATAAATGAGTTCAGCAAAGTTGCGGGATACACAATCCATACATAAAAATCAGCTGCATTTCTATACACTAGTAAGAACCAATCTAAAAATGAAATTATAAAATAATTTCATTTATAATAGCATGAAAAAGAATAAAATACTTAGGAATAAATTTAGCCAAAAAAATATAAGACTTGCATACTGAAAACTATAAAACACTGTTGAAAGAAATTAAAGATCTAAATAAATAGAAATATAACTCATGGTCATAGTTTGGAAGACTTACTATTGTTAAGATGGCAAATTTCCCAAACTGATCTGCAAATTTGATATAATCTCTGTTGAAATTCCAACTGCAGGGGATAGCCAGTAAGCTCACTTGGTTACAGTGTGGTGTTAGTAACACCAATGTCAAGGGTTCAGATCCCTACACAGGCCAGCTGTCAAAAAAAAAATTTCCAACTGCTGGGTTTTTTTTGTTTGTTTGTTTTTTTCAGAAATGGATGAGCTCATCCTAAAATTCATATGAAATTGCAAGGGATATAGACTAGCCAAAGCAATCCTGAAAAGAACAACAAAGTTGGAAGACTCACACTTCTTGATTTCAAATTTATAGTAATAAAACGTTTTTGGTTTTGAAAATTTACAGTAATCAAGACTGTGTGGTAGTGTTGTAAGGAGAGACATGTAGATGAATGGAATCAATCACAAAAAGCCACGTATTGTATGATTCTATTTACAAAATAGGCAAATCTATAAAGACAGAAAGTTGATTAGCAGTTGCCAGGGGATGGGGGAAGGAGGAAATGGGGACTAACCGCTAATAGGTACAAGGTTTCTTTTTGGGGTGATGGAAGTGTTCTGGAATTAGATAGACAAGTAATAATCAGAGCAGTGCCTTACTAATAGTAATGGAGTAATCTAGACTGGGTATCTATGTACCAATTAGCAAACCTCCCGAAAAACCTACACCATCACTCCTCCGGGCAGCAAGTCCACTGAGTTGGCCTTAGTAGGAAATATACTCCTTCCCTTCCCATCTGTAGCTCCTACTTCTTCCATCCCCTCTCTGAGGTAACCTGAAACTGGATCAAGCTGGTTAGGTATAAGGCCAGCTAGCTAGCTGTCCCTATAAATTCATCTGGACTGCAACCAGCAAACAGTTTGTAACAAATAATTCATCTTTGTTCCTGAAAATCCATCTAGAAACAGTGCATGGAGGGCAACAACTCAAGCAGCCCAAATATTGTAGGTGATTAAACTGGAACCTTCTTTACCTCCTTACAACATCCAGTGATTTCGGAGGTTCAGCAAATAGTGGTACTTGCAGTGTACATTTTGTATATTATAGGAAGGACACAGCAGATGATCCATATCTCCACTTCCCGCATCAGAAGAGTCACAAAGAAACATTTGCAACCTTGCCCGAACATCACGGAGCATTAATTTCCATGAAGCTCTCTAGATGCATTGGGAACGCTGGGAGTTGGGAATTTCAAACATCTCTGGGACAGGAAACAGCAAAAGCTTAGGATGAATAGGATCTACTTCAACCAACTGGCATGTAAGGGCCATCTCCTTTCCTTAGACACCAGTCTTCTTCCTTTAGCATTATATTGGTAAGGCAAAATGACCACAAAGTTACTACTAGTTCCTCTATAGCTTCACAATTAAGTACTCCTAGAATTATAGGTATATGTTTTGAATGTCTGATTTGCTTTTGGATTTGCTAAGGCAGCCTCAATGGGATCACAGACGATGGGGGTAGCTAACTGGGAGCCAGGATGCTTCAGGGCTAAGTTGTTACTGTGGTGGATGGAAGCATATGAGTAGCCAAGAAAAGAAATCCAGACTCAACACCAGAATAGAACAAATGCTGTCAGATCTAAGATGTGAATATAGAGGTAAAAACAGATGATGAGGCAAGAGTTCGAAACTTGAAAATATCAAAATTAGGTAAGGAAACAAGAAAAATGTGAAGAAAGGCCCAGACGAGGATGCTGGGAACATGCTTTGGGCAGTAGTAGCCATGTGATACCAAGCTAAGTCAACTGGTTTAAAGGTACAGAACTGGGCCAAACACAACAATGTATTTTTCTAATAGGATATTAGCTGTGGCACTGACTACCTTGACAAATCCTCATCTAAAGAAAAAAATGGACAGATAGCATGCTATGACAATTATACTTCATGAAGAGAAAGAATTCTGAAATGGTCATTATTTTCCATTCAAATAATGCTACCATCTCCCAAAGAACAGCTCTGGGGCAGGAAAGAACAGTATTTCATTTTAAGCTGGACTACTCATCTACCAAAATACCATTCTGACCAAAGAAACAGATGCAGAATTACAGTCACAGCTGCATTCTGCACAGAACAAGTTGGATAATGGTACTCTAAATTGCTAATTACACTGTTAATGATTTTTTTAGTGTCATTGCAGTATTTTGCCACCTTTGTTTAAATTTTTTTTAAAAAAGCAACTAGGAAGTTTTGTAAATGGTAAATTTTTGTTTTGTTAAATACCACTGAGTCTTCCAAAGAGAAAGTCTATATAAAACCCATTTCTTGAAATGGCATTCTCATATGGGATTTTGTAGGAACCCATTTATTGACAACCTATTTGTTTTAATTTACTTTCTCACCAATTTACTTGCATTTTAAGACTACTGAGGTCATAAATATCTCAGTATTAGTGCTTGTATCTACATCCATAGTTGTAATGAAAATATTATAAACTAACATATGTCATGATATGCTGGCACTGGGAATGTGCAATGATTAGATTTACAAAAAGTAATAGCAACAGTACAATTTTATTTTTATTGTGATGACTGTGATGAAATTTATTACAATGCTAGTATTTTGTCATTTAATCCATGCCAGCATAGCTGAGGGAGATAATTACATTTTTAACATAAAAATGCTGCTAATGTTTTTATTTAATTTTAGCAAATTATAGTATGTAGATTAAAGTAAGGCCACTGTTCCCTATTGTTGCTTGTATATTTGTGGCAGAATTTTTTTTCCCTACAAATAGGGCACTAATTTCTACTAAATTATTTCATCTGGGTTTCTAAATAAAATTTGCTTCTTAAGAATTACCTCAAGCTGGCCAGAAATTTGCTCCTTAAGTAACACCTCAAGCTGGACAGAAACTTACAAAAATTAGATTTACAAAAAATATTTTATATGCAGAAAATGGTGTATCAATCAAGATTATGTCACATTTTTTTGATAATTTTTGTATTTATCAAGGTAAATCAGTAGTTAAAGTTAAAAACACAATCTTATCATCCAATCACAAACTCTGAACTAAGTAAATACTTACATTTTCTTCTAACAGACCATCCAATTTCAGTGATCTTCTAACACTGCGAACAAAATATTTAGAGAAATCTCAGATTTCACATGCCTTATTTAAAATAGCCAAATATTTAAAGGTAAGATACATATACAAAGATTTGAAATTACTTTGGCCAACTAATTTTCATACTATTTATTAGAGCAGAATACCACATGAAAAAAGCAATTATTTATTACAACCTGTCTGTTTTAAATAACACATTTCAACACGGAATTACAATTAGATATTTAAATGAATCACTTTTTAAAAATATATGTGGTTTTATATACATGGACTACTATACAATTTAAACATTAAAGTCACATTGTAAAAAGTCTCAGTAAAAAATCAGTATATTTGTCTGAATTAAAATACCACTAATAAAAAATTATACATAACTTACATACCTTCAATGGAGATGTTGAAAGTATATTATTTGCAGAAATAATGTACTAGGTGTTAAAGGTATGAGCAAGGTGAAAAAAGTTTTTTGCACTTTACTAAAGCTTTAAACATGATTCAATGCAACCAGACTATGACTTAGCTGAGGAACAGATGCTCTACGTCTTTATAAGTCCCCAATCCATAAGAAACTATTTTTTGTTTCCTTCACTAAACTGATTCAGGAACATGCCAGGCTCTCTCTGTGCAAAATCTGTTCTGCTAAACTGGATGCCCAGCTGTTGGTGACAATGCTTAGAAAGGAAAGCTGAATATTTATAATACTTTATTTCGTACAGCTGTCTTCTAAAGAGCAGTCATCAACATTTTATTGAATGCAGGCTAAATGCTCAAAGGAGAAAAAGGTCGATATAAATTAAAACTAGTTTTCCCAGTGACAAACGCAGTGTTAAAAGTAGTTCCTAGATCCATGAGAAATAGAAGTAAAATTATTTAAAATACTAAAGAATTAGAGCACAAAGTAAAAGATTGAGTTATAAAGGCTGTATTTTATAGAAACCAAAAAAAATTTTGCATAGATCCTAGAAAATGACTATTCATAAATAACTGACTTACAAAAAACAGGAACAAGAAGAAACAGAAGAGATGATCAATCTAAGAAAATTACCGTGCAGTAAATGTTAAACACAAAAATTTAATCTATCTAAAAAGCGTTTACTTAATTTTGCTATCATATCTACATTAGCCTATCACAACATTATTTCTTGAGATTAATTAAATTTAAGTAATTATTTATATCTTTTAGAAATCCACTTAACATCAACTTAATGTAAATTCACAATGAAGCAAGAAGAGAACAGAGGTATGAACAAATAAAAATGGCAGATAATTTTAAAACGTATTTATATTTAGCTTTGAAATTGCCCTATATGGGTGTGTGAGATGTTTTGGTATTTATAACATTTCATAAGTAGAAGTAAAAAAGTTACACAGTACAATATTTCTTACCCTTTGTTTCTAAATGCTGTTAAGATCAATACTATCTTTTAGAAGGACACGAACCCCACCCTGATATTAATTATTCAAAATAGTTTTACCTTATTATCAATGGTTAATTTTTAGAGAACGTAATTAAATGTTTAGATTTAAATGGCTTCCAAATTGGGTCCTAGGTTGATCTAAGAAGCCCAAGGAAATACATAAAAGTAAATGAGAAAGTGAGCTGAGTTAAAATAGGCTGTCATCTCCCACTTTAACTAGGTTTGGTGAGAATCTAAAAATATGACTTATTGAAGGTAATGTAGTTTAGATAATTCAGGCATCTAATAACCAGAAGCTGATAATATTTAGCAGATTCCTAAAAAGACTTAATAGACAAGACTGGAAGAAATCTAAGAAATCACTTAATTCAGCCAACAGGGAAAAGAATTTGTACAACTTGCCTACTGTCACACATCTTGAGGGACAGAAACTGAGATCTTTGGTCCTGTGCATAAATCTTTGTTGAATCAAGGCGGAGAGAATTAAAGGAGGAGTAAAGAAGAGTAAACCTACTACAGAAATTTATGACCATCCATTCTTAGAACTGGGCCCACTGTCAAGATATCAGTCACTAAATTAAGCACCCACTATATGCAAGGAACTCTACCCATGAACAACTGTAATACAAGCATGAGATGATGGATTAGGATGATGTTAATAGGAACACAGAAGAGATGGATAAGATATATAAAGGAAGAACAGGCAAAACTTGATTAGGCATATAAGTATTTTCCTAAAATATTTACTCATTTGCTACCATCATTAGTTAACAAATAAAAGTGATACCTTTCTCATAGTTCTGTAAAGTTATAAGCAGCAATTCCTGTGGCTACTATCTTGGTTTAAAAAAAATGGGCACACAAAATTGGGCAAAGGACTTGAATACACATTTCTCCAAAGAAGATACACTGGTGGCCAATAAGCACATGAAAAGACACTCAACATCCTTAATCATTAGGTAAGTGCAAATCAGAACCAAACGCTCAACATCCTTAATCATTAGGTAAATGCAAATCAGAACCAAACGCTCAACATCCTTAATCATTAGGTAAATGCAAATCAGAACCATAATGAGATACCACTTCACACCCATTAGGATATCCACTATCAAAAAAACCCAGAAAATAACGAGTGTTGGTAAGAATGCGGAGAAACTGGAAACCTTGTGCACTGCTGGTGGCAATGTAAAATGATGCAGCAGTTGTGGAAAACAATATGGCAGTTCCTCAAAGAACTGAAAATAGAATTACCATATGATCCAGCAATTTCACTTCCCAAAAGAATTGGAAGCTGGACAGGAACAGATATTTGCACACCAATGTTCATAACACTATTGTTCACAATAGCCAAAAGGTAGAAGCATCCCAAGTGTCCATTGACAGATGAATGAATAAACAAAATGCAGTATATACATAAAATGGAATATTATTCAGCCTTAAAAAAGGAAGAAAATTTAGCACATACTACAACATACATGAACCTTGAGGACATTATACTTAGTAAAGTAAGCCAGTCACAAAAGGACAAACACTGTATGATTTCACTCATATAAGAGTAGTCTTATTCAGAGAGACAGCAAATAGAATGGTGGTTGCTTGGGGCTGAAGGAAGGAAGAAATGGAAAATTACTGCTTAATGAGTACAGAGTTTCAGTTTCGCAAGATGAAAAAAGTTCTGGAGATAGATGGTGGTGATGCACGACAATGTGAATGTATTTAATGCCACTAAATTGCACACTTGAAAATGGTTAAGATGGTAAATTTAATATGATGTACATTTTAGCACAATTTTAAAATAATTTTTTAAATGGACACCTACCTATTGTATCCTAATTACCTCCCTCTTACGAGTAACCTCCATTCTCGGTGATTTCTCACTTCCCACTTGCCCAAATTTCCACCTTTGTCCATTAATTAAAATGTTATATTCCATCCTTAGGTGTACTGGGTTTATGTTCACTGGGATCAAAATTCTGTTGCTACCAAGATTACTACTGTGAGAATTTTAAAAAGATAAAAAACATTTGACATGCAATTTTATATCAACAGGTGAGAAAGTAACTGTTTGTAGAATTAGCTATATTATTTTCTAAGACTATACTCCCCTATTTTATTTAGCTTAACACATAGTAGTATACTATACAGGATTCTCTAATTCATCAAAACAGAACAAGTAAATGAGTTTTATTATAAATTGTTTCTAACATCAGTTACAATATTAAAGAAATTATTCTAGGAAAAAAACTCCAATCATTTGATTCCTAATCAAAAATCGGGAATGACACCTCAGGAGCTCAGAAAATTGTCTGATTTGAGGTTCTATTACAGGACCTTTAAAACATGAAATTAAATGTGATTCTGAACAGCAGGGGTGGGGTGGGAGTGGGGAGTGAAGAATAAACTTAGTAAAGCAGATAAGACTCAGGGAGCCTTGAAGCTATGCCAAATTCTTCCCCAAGGTTTGGCAAATCACATAATCTCACTAAGCTTCATAAAGTTGATAATACTGGCCAGCAAAGTAGTAAGAAATTTCTGAGTAGAAGATAAAAAATATCACTTAGTATTTCAGTGTTTCCATTTACTCTTCACTATAATGGAGATGATAATATTGCCAGCTATCAACTTCACAAGAGTGTTTAGAGGATTACTGAATATGCTTATGAGATCTTTTGATGAAAGGCAATGGCCAAATCCGTATCCCATGTGACTACTTAAGTGTAAATTGAGATATCTGAATGACTTATTTTCCACTCTATATATGGGTGTGAGCATATATAAAGGGAGAAGAATCTCCTGTATCCTCTCTGCATTCTCCTCTTCATTCAAGCCTATGCTTCTTTGTGTTCCAAGTTTCTAGTGGTCACACAAAGTAATCTCTACCACAATATGGATGAGTGGGAACACCACTTAATCACATGTAGAAATATGGTCACTGTGTGAAGCATTTAAATGAATGATTAATCCTGTTACTCTTGATTTAAAAACTTGCCAAAAACTTTTACCAATTATCAAGGAACATGTATTTATGGTATCAAAATCTTTTCTTTTCTTTTTTTTTTAATTTTTATTGAATCGTGATTGTACATATTTTTGGGGTTCAACATTGACATATGTTGATCAGATCAATATTACTAGCATATATATTGTTACAAATTGTACTCATTCTTTATGCCCCTTGTCCATTCTCTCCCAATCCCCCTCCTCCCTCTGATAACCCTATATTTCTTCTCTCCTTCTGAAAGAGTAATGGTTACTCTGTTGATTTGTTGCCTAGATGATCTGTCCAATGCTGAGAGGTGTGTTCAGGTCCCCTGATATTATTTTAGAGCAGATGCTTCTTCTGTCACTCTGGAATAGGCTTTGTGCAAAGAGACATTCTCTCCTTTTCTTTGGTCTCTGCTGGTGACTCTCCTTGTGTCAATGCACTCCAGTGGCTGGTGGACCATCTGAGTGGTGGCTGTGGCATCTAGATGCTTTCGTGGCAGCAGTGATTATTGTGGTGGTCCACCCACATGGAGGTGATGTTTTTGGCATGCTCCTTGGCGCTGGCAGTGTACCTGGTTGTGTGTGTGTGTGGGGGGGGTTC